AATACTACATGTCCCAAGGATGAATTCCCTTTTCCCATCACGGATGTCATCATCGATAACACCTGTGGTTCAAGAGGATGTCCTTCATAGATGGATTCTCAGGTATAATTAGATCAACATGCACCTGAGGATGAGAAGCACGCTTCATGGATGGATTCTTAGGTATTAACTGTAACTAGCCGTTACAGTGCCATAAGTCGACTGATGTACTGTTCAGTTGACTGATTAGCTAGCCGATGGGTGCTGCTCAAACTTTATCAGTCGACTAATGAACACCATCAGTCGACTGATGACTTACTTCAGTCGACTGATAAGAGTCAGTTAACTAAGCAGAAACTATTAGCAAATCTAGAGCACTTCATCAGTCGACTTATGAGCAGTGTCAGTCGACTGATAATCATGCACAGCCTATTTATGAATAGTAAATATGATTTTCAAATGTGCTTTAAAAATAGCAAATAAATTCTAAAATTTATGAAATTTTAGGAAATGATTATTCTGCTGAAAATAAGCATGTTTGTCACATCCCAGTTCTAAACATAATAGTTTTGGAACGTGACTCGGCCAGCAATGCAACCATTCGGCCACATTCACACCTAAAGATCATCCTGTATATCAAAATAAAGCTAAAACTACACCATATAGCATGTAACCAAGATAATAAAAGAAATGTATAGATACAAATCAGCTATTTAGCTTTCTGAGCTGCCAATAGGACATCCGCATAAGTCTCAACCCCCTTCTGACTGTAAATCTAAGTTTGGATCTTAAAATTTAGACCCTGCATGAATCCTTATCCCTTATCCATCTCATTTGATACCATCCCCATGGCAAACTTGCTGAGCTTGGCAAATTCTAATTCATACTCATCTATAGTACTAGCTCTCTATCTTAGCATAACAAACTGCCTATGCATCTCAAGACGAGCTATCTTCGGGAAAAATGCCTCTAGGAAACTCTCCCGGAATGTCTCCCATGAAACTGGCTTAGGCACCTTCTCCCTCCTCCGTGTCCCACCAAGTTCTGGCTACATTAATTAGCTGCAACTATACAATATCAACTCGGTCTTCATCTGTTAATCTTTGCTACCCTCAATAGACAGTCCATGGTCTGTAACCACATCTCCACTTCATATTCACCTTCAGTCCTAGCAAAGTGTTGCGGGTTAAGCTTCTAAAAATCAGACACATTACCCAGCCTTATAAGCTGCCGCTACCCATCCCTCTGGCGATTATGAGCTACCAGTTCTCTAATCGCTTCTACAAGATCAGCCTGATCGACTTGGTGTCCCTCAGGGATAACTAGAGTAGGGGGTCGATGTTTTGGGGCTATAGTGATCACCTAAAATGAGATTGGTCAAGATTAAGACTTGAGAATCAAGGTATTGGGAGTTAAAAGATTGTCTTCTTGAAAAGTAGAGATCCTATTCTATACATGCTCTGTTCTTGGCCTAACCTTAGTTTTTACATGTATACATGATGAGATAGTAATTCCTAAACCTAGCTCTGACCAGTAAAAACCTTATCACGCCCCAGTTCCAAACGTAATAGTTTTGGAATGTGACTCGGCCAGTAATGTAACCATTCGGCCATATTCACACCTCTAGATCATCCTGTATATCAAAATAAAGCTAAAACTATACCATAGAGAAAGTAACCAAGATAATAAAAGAAATATATAGATGAAGAAATCTCCAAAAGACGGAGTCCAAATATAGTTCACAACTATCCACGATGGAAAAGAGTAGAGAAAAATTCACATCATGGTAAAAAAAAGTCGCATGTAACTCAAGGGAAAGTCTGAACCAAATAACTACCTAAATCAACTAAACTAGAGAACTGATAGAATAAACAGTGACCACTGCCTCTATGCCTGCTCCTAGAAATACTCTCAATCCTACGAAGAAAGAACAGTTCGCGAGTCTGATGTGCGCAAACCCCAGGGAGTCAGGAAACTCCCAACAAGCATATAAAATGAAGGAATTGTGCATGTGTAACTGTATGTAATAGGTATAAAGGAAAGATAAAAATCTAAATTAAATGTGACTAAAATAAACACTACTTATGGATATGGCGAATAAATCTATTACAAAACACATGAGCACATTATTCTTATTTTACATGTTATTTGAATTAGAGGAGAATAATATCATGTATATAAATCGGTTTCCTGTAAACTATCCCGGGAACGCGGCTTCAAGTCAAATATTGGCTCTTAGCCTTTATATGTATATATAATTCAGGATATCAGGAATGCACATGAGCCCGCTTATATACATATTATATTCTTTGTCCTATTCCCCATTTTAAACGCACTTTTTTTTTAAATGATTGTGCATGAAATGTTGTTCACTAACTACATAGTTACCGTGGAACGACTGGCGTAAAACAATATAACATAAACATAATCCAGAATATGTCTTAATAAGATAGATGCATTATCTAATCAATGCTATAATAGTAATTGCCAAGAGAAACCTCATATCAGGATATCGATATCGAGGGGCATAGTCATGCTATGGAAAGCATGCTTGAAAATCATATTTTTCACGGAAGTCATCTTCATGCACAGTCGGACCTATTTAGTGTCACTATAAAATCAACCATTATCACTATATAATCAACCATTATCAGATGATTAACCAAAATTTCATCACCATACATAATTTCCATTTGAGAGAAATAAATAAATCTGAAAAGATGAGAGCTCAGATTCGCCCTTTTATGAGAAATAGATTTGCTAGGAAAAACCAACTCTTTCCGCTCTGCAAATAATAGAAAGCTGTAGAGACAGAAAGAGAGAATTTGAAAAATAATCACTTAACCCTAAAAAACACTAATCCTAACCCTGAACCAAAACTAGTTCTGTTGGCAAAACATCACATCCTTTTAATAAATTTGCAACTCTAGTAAAAAGTTAAGGCCCACAAAAGCTCAGGCCAAATATACATATATATATTTATTTTCAGCTACGGGATTCGAACACTGAACCTACAGGTTATCATCTAAAGATGCTGACAACTACAACCACTAGTAGAAATTTGAATTTCCTAGACGGAATATCCTAGATGGAAAAATTTCCGTCTAGGATGTAATATCCTAGACGGAAATTTTCCGTCTAGAATATTCCGTCTAGAATAGTATTGGAGACGGATTTATTTATTTAATTTTTTTTAGATTAACTAAGCATCCTAGACGAAAATTTCCGTCTAGGTTGTATCCCAGACGGAAATTTCTGTCTAGGATACTCAGATCAGTTTCTATTTAAAAAATCACATCCCAAAAATTCTGGCGCCTATAATTGCCGCCTTAACCCCCCATTCTCCCGCCTCATCCCTAAATTCTCCCGCCTCAAACCTTAATTTCCCAAATCCTCCGCACCCTCCCATTCTTCTCCTCTGTTCGAAGGCCAGAACCGCCGCCCTCCCATTTTTCTCCTCTGTTCGAAGGCCAGAACCGCCGCCCTCCCGTCGTCCCCCTCGATCCCGCACCCTCCCGTCGTCCTCCTCGACCTTTCGTCGTCGCCTCCCCCTCAGCTCCTCGACGTCCTCCTCCGACATCATCGTCCCGTCGTCGCCTACCCCTAAGCCCCTCAGCTCCTCGCCGTCCCGTCGTCCTCCTCGACGTTTCGTCGTCATCCTCCTTCGACATCGCCGTCCCGTCATCCTTTAGCCTCCCCGTGGGAGGAGTCCGCCTTGCTGCCGGGCAACAGTAACTTCTCCTCTCCTCCTCCTGGTCTCAAGAGGCCTAGGGAGGGCCCGACCGAGACTCAGGTATGTCGAATTTGGATTTTGGGATTTTGTATGTGCTGATTTGTATCTGGTTAGATCAGATTGTGAATCTCAACCTGTAATTAATGCTCTTTATTAATTGCGGAATGTGTATGTATGTATATAGAATGGTGGGGAGGTGAGAAACGGAGGGCTGACTCATCAATTCAGCTTTCCGAAGACATCGTCGGAGATGGTGGCCGTGGAGAAGTTCCTGCAGTTTCAGGATTCAGTTCCCTGCAAGATCCGAGCCAATCATATAAGATGAATATGTTGTGCCCTCTTTTTAAAACTACAAATTGTTTTCGTATATTTTGACTAAAGTTAATTAGGTTCTATGATTTATAAATGATGACCAAATGCATGTATTTATATGATTGGCACGCACATGTATCAAGAAATTGACATATTATCCTTTGACTTTGTGTCTGCATTTAGGCAGTTTGCATGCGAGGTACCTCGTGTCATATTGGATTACAACAGTCGTCTATGCAAACATTTATTGGATCAATATATTTAGGGAACTTTTAATCTCAATAAAGCTTGTTAAGTATGATGGTCTTAACCCATAACTTCTGTTCTAAGTTAACTGAATAGTAAGCTACACGAAATCAATTCCAGCCCTTGATTCCTTTGATGCTATTATTACACATTATACATATGTCTGATAAATAAGTCAAAAACAGATTTATTGAATTTATAATTTAAATTATTCGTGAAAGTGAGATTATTAATTCAAATACGATATGTCTAAGATTTACTGTCAAGCCAAATATTCCATTATACAAAAATTCTTCATGGTCCAAACTGGCTTAATTGATTATGCAAAAACACTGAGAAGATCAAAAACCATCTTTACCTTTTACCAGGGCAATTAATTTTATGTCGCATTTTCAGATTCAGAGTTTATCTCATTTTGAACTTATATATCCGTTAGTACTGGAAAAGAGGGGAAGAAACTATTTTTTGCTTTCATCTTTAGATTATTGTTCAGTGAACTGACATTTAGCATACAACAGACGGGAGAAACTCCTATGACCACAAAAGAGATAAAAGCATATGGGGATTTTAGTTGTGAAGATGTACTGCAAGGTCATGATGTATTTATAAACAATGTAAAGTCTCGTCTAACAAAGTTACAGGTAATCTTCAATCCGTTAATTTTTTGCTTGCTGATTCTTTATGCTAGAAATTTGCAATTTTACTATGCTCTACTATAAGGCAGGAATCCATGGAAGATGGTAATTGTTATTCGAAGTAATTATGAGTTAACTATGTGGAATTACCTAGTGTTTTGTGTTTCATATTTGTCAACTTAATATTTTAGCTACTCCTATGTAGCTGCAACTGGTGATGACCACAATTTCTTTTTGAGTTTGATAATTCTTTCACTTGTTTGTAACTTTTTTCAGCTGTCGCAATTTCCATATTTTATGCTCTTAGTACTGTCAGTAGAAATTAATATCCATCCATGTTTATATTATCTGTCATAAATAAAAAAAAGAAGCAGGTTATCGTCCGAATAAGTCCTCTGAGAGAAATGAAAAGAGTTCTGTACATGGGCTTAGTGGCTAAACCAAAGACTTGGATTGAAGGGGTTTATGAAGGGTTTGTCCTACAAGTTATTTGGTTAATGCTTTTCGAATTTTGAGTCGAATGGGTTTTGCGGGCAATACTAGTTTACATTTCTCCGTACATGTTCTCAGGGTGATTTAAGGGACAAAGTGCAGTCTGTGCCAAAAAATTCGAATTTTTTTTTATAAATTGGGGGTAGCTCTAGAGGGTATATAATGTGCATTTCATTAATAGCCGAAACTGCTCTATTTGGTCCATGCTAGGGTTTGGTTACTATTTTTGTTTTTGATCGCTATGGAAATGTGTGTTTGGGTTATGGTAATTGTTCTGGTTCTATGTTTTTGATCTTTAGGTTTATAATGAAAATGTTCTCTTTAATGTTTTAAGAAAGGAGGGGTTTGGTACTTTGAAACAGGGAACAAATGGAAATTATGGTCTCTTGTTAGTAAAAGAAGAATATTGATCCTTTCTTGTATGTCTCTTTGTCAATCGATCTTTGTGCTTGTTGCCTTTTGATTTTTTTATGCAAGGATCCGAGATGGCAAGCCTTTGGGGTGAGGGGGGTTGCTTATTGAATGTGTTTATTTACTGTGATGAATGTTCACTTAAACCATAAATTCGATTATTAGTTTTATAAGATTGTCATTTATCCAATAACAAAGTGAGTAATGTTAGCTCTAGGAAATTGATCCAGTTTCATCAATGAGATAAGAAGGCTCATTGAGGAGCATGCCTCGTCTTTCCAGCTATAGCTGTTTCGAGAGATCACAAGCCTGATCAAACTGATGAGCGCCAAAGAATTGAGGATGCTGGGGGTTTTGTGACGTGGGCAGGTAATTAATGTCCCTTTCTGCATGATTTTTTCCTTTCATGTTTAGATTTTTTTATTCTTAATTTTTGTTACTGACTGTGAGTTTGGCAGGAACATGGCGTGTTGGTGGTGTTCTTGCTGTTTCCCGTGAATTTGGCGATATATTATTAAAGCAGTATGTTGTTGCTGATCCAGAAATTCAGGTTCGGCTCTTATCTTTGATAATTGTGACATGATAATTCATTCTTTTCTTTGGTCTCTTCTCACCAGAATGCATGCTCATATCAAGAGCATCCAACTTTCACATTATTTGGTCTACTTGCCTGATAATTTGTATGGTTTTCTGCTATTTTGGTGCAAAGTTCCTTCCAAGGAAATTATAGAAAATAAGGGAAATCCCTCAGAATTTTGTATATCTATCAATAACAATTTAAGCTTATGAAGCCAAGAAGCAAAACCATTGATATTTTACTTAACCACTGCAGGGTGAATATACAGCTATCCGCTAAAGGGAATATCAAATATGTGTGCATGCCTTGATTGCCTTCCTTCCTTCTCTGGATTATTATCTAAAACCCAATTTATTAATCATGAATTACAGGTTAATTTCATGTAATACTTAAAATGACTTGTGTATCTGATTCCCTGAAGTACAATTTAGCAAAGATTTTTTTTTTCTGGCATTGCCAGCTGTTTACGAAGCATTTGTAATCTAAGCTACCTATGTTATTATAAAGTTGTTGATTTGTTATGGTGCTTTACTTTTTATTTAATTCTTCTTGTATGGAGTGACTTTCCTTGTTTCTTGCCCCCAAAGTTTTACCCCTGATTTAAACTATTTTATACGACTTGTATTTGTTATTTATGTGATAATATAATCAATTCGTTGTTTCTTATTACAGCTACATAGGGTATTTGATTTAGAAGAATTAAGGCATATATTCCACGCTTAGGTTTTGGACTAACGTGACAAAATTGGTGTGTTATACTATCAAGCTTAATTTGGAAATTAATTTCTTTAAACACTAGTATTTTTCTTATTCCTATTCATCTTGTACTACAGGAGGAGATCATTGATGGCTCGCAGGAATTTCTCATTCTTGCAAGTGATGGCCTGTGGGACATTGTTACAAATGAGGTATATGCTTCATCTCAGATCATTTTCGCAGATTGGCATTTTGTTCGTTGTTATGGAGCACATTGCCTTCTGTAGTTCCCGAAGGCATTAATTCACATGCAAGGAAGATACATGCGATCATTCTGACAAAGGCGAGGAAGACGTTGAAGAGGAAGAGACAAGGAAGATTAGGCTTGGGCTTAATAAGAAGAGTGGTGATGATGATGAGTTTGTAAACAATTTTTTCTAGTATTTTGATGAATGTATTATTTGAATATAATTTGATTTGATATTGGAATATAATTAAATTGTGTTGGATATCAATATAATTTTTTGTTGTTTAATATTGTGTACATGGATTCAACGTAGATTCTGAAAAAAAAACTTACTGTAGCATAGTATCCTAGACGAAAATTCCGTCTAGGATGCTCAAATTCCGTCTAGAATACCTTTAAAAAAAATCAATTTTCATCTAGAATGAGTATTCTAGACGGAAATTTCCGTCTAGAATACTCATTCTAGACGGAATTCTTTTCCGTCTAGAATGTATTATTCTAGACGGAAATTCCGTCTAGAATAATCCGTCTAGAATGTATTCTAGACGGTTTTGAATTCCGTCTAGGATGTATTCTAGACGAAATTTTCGTCTAGAATACTACATCCTAGACGGAAATAAACTAGACGGGTATTCTAGATGGAATTCCGTCTAGGATACACATCCTAGACGGAATTCTGTGTATCCTAGACGGATTTTTCTGTCTAGGATGCCTAGTTTTTTAGCAGTGAACTTCTTTGCTATTGCGACAAGGCAATGAAAAATATGTATAAAATAAGTAAATTAATGATATAACAATTGAGAAATTTACAACTATCTACTCACATAGATTCCATTATCAAACTAAATAAATAACAAATTATGATTGCAATAACTGTACGCCATATCAATCAAAGTAAGCATGGATTTGTTTATGTAAATAAAAGATCAAATAACGCTAATAGATCTAATCTAGATCATTCACATCAATATATTTCATCAAGACATATGTACAGTGAATAATCACATATCATATTAATCAAATCAATCAAATTAATCAAGATTTTATAATAAAAGAAAAAAATCTTACATGAAAGTAATAGTACTAATAACAAACAAAATATTAAGATCATGAAAAAAATAACGAGTGAAAGGAAAAAAATGCTTGTACGAAGGAAAATCAATAATAATAATAATAATAATAATAATAATAATAATTAAGGAAAAAAATGCTTGTCAATTTGTCAGAAAAGACTATGAACCTCAAATCCAAAAGAAAATCTAAATCTACTCCCTCTCCTTCTCTTGTTCTCTGTTGGGTTTTCCTTCTTTTTTTTCATTTTTTTGCCTCTGCGGGTTCGAGGAACGAAGAGGTGAGAAGATATATATAAGGAAAGGTTAAGATTTTTTTAGAATCCCTAAAACTAAGTTTAATTAGGGGAAAAAAATAGTTGTAACAAAAACTATAGGGATCTCATGATTGGATGTGGGACGATGAATTCACGAAGATTTGTTGGGCAAAATTTCTAGAAAACATAACGATTCACCAATCTCACAAGAAATCGTAACCATCCCCTGCAGAAGGTGAAGTGCACAAATTGGGCTTGCTAGTTTAGTAATGGGCCTTACGAAATTTGCATTGTTTGTTTTATTTTTTTTATTTTTTTATTTTTTTTCAATTCTATTTCACGTGGGCTTCCTATATAAGACCTTGCATAAAAAAATATTGATTATTACATCCTACCCACCTAAGAAAAGAAAATTCGTCCTCGAAATTTACTAAAAGTCACTTGTAGCAAAGAGATTTGTATATCGTTGACAAATGTTGTCCTCCCACTCCCATGTTGCCTCACCAGGTTCGTGATGTCCCCAAGATACTAAGACAAACGAGATAGTTCTATTCTTAAGGACCTTCTCCTGTCTATCCAAAATCTTCATTGGTCGCTCCTCTTATGATAAGTTCATCCCAATCTTAAGCTCTATAATGTCTAGGACGTGGGTTTCATCTTGCACATATCATCAAAGCTGTGATACGTGGAACACATCATACACTCCCTCCAACTATGGAGGTAAAGCTAGCCGGTAAGCCTTCTCTCCTACTCTCTCTAATATCTCAAAAGGATCTATGAAACGTGGACTAAGCTTTTCGCGGCTACCAAATCTGATCACTCCTATGGTTGGGGATATCCTCAAGAAAATATGCTCTCTAACCTGAAACTGTAGAGGTCTCCTCTTAGCATCAGTCCAGCTCTTCTGTCTATCCTGAGCTCACCTAAAGCGCTCCCGTATTATCTTTATCTTATCTAATGTCTGCACTATCATCTCAAGACCTAGTAGATGCCGCTCTCCCAAGTCATCTCAACAGGTAGGAGATCTACATTTTCTTCCATATAATGCCTCATAAGGTGCTATTTGGATGCTGGCCTAATAACTGTTATTATAATAAAACTCCACCAAGTGTAAGTGGTCTTCCAAAGATCCCTTAAAATCCAGCATGCATGCCCACAACATCTCCTCCAGAATTTGTATAGTCCTCTCTGATTGTCCATCTATCTGAGGGAGCTAAGCCGTACCATAACTCAGTCTAGTTCCAAGATACTTCTACAAGCTCCTCCAAAAGTGTGATAAAATCGGGTGTCTCTATAAAAAATAATGCTAATCGGTACCCCATGCAAGCGTACTATCTCTCTCATGTACAGCTCCACTAAACTCTCCGTCATCCGTCCAACTCGAAATGGTATGAAGCAAGCCGACTTAGTGATTCGGTCTACTACTACCCATACGATGTTATTTCCCTTCTGGCTCCTCGGCAGAGCTGTGGCAAAGTCTATTGTAACATGCTCCCACTTCCACTCGGGAATAGGAAGGGGCTGCAATAACCTAGCTATCCTCAATTGCTAAGTCTTCTCACTTCCCACTTCTACTCGTGCTATCTCCATCTTTATTCCTGGCCATCATTAATGCTCTCTCAAGTCTCGATACATATTTTTGCCTCCTGGATGAATAGAAAGCACTAAACTATACACCTCCTCAAACAACTCTCTTCTAACATCGCTCTTAGGCACACACAACCTACAACGGAATCATAAGGATCCATCCTCATGTATATTTAGATCAGTTCTCTCCCAGACTCCACTTGTTTCTTAAATTTTTGGTACCGAGCATCCTGAAACTGGGTAGCCTTGATCCGATCTACCAGAGTTGACTGTAAATGAAAATCATCAACTGTCTCTCTGCTCCAGACAATATAATCTCAATGTTCATCCTCCAGAACTCAGCTAGCAACTCCCGTTGTCTGGTATGTCTCACCGCCATAGGCTTCCAGTTTAAATGATCTGGTACTATATTAACTCGTCCTGGGTGATATTGTAAATCAAGATCGTAATACGCCATAAGCTCTAACCATCTCCATTGTCTCATGTTGATCTCCTTCTGAGTGAAGATATACTTTAAAATTTTATGATCTATGTACACCTTCACTCTTTTTCCTAAAAGGTAGTGCTTTCATAGCTTCAATTCAAATATAACCGTCGCTAATTCCAGATCATGAATCAGGTAGCTACTACCTTCCCATGTTGCATCAGAACATAACCTAAACCAAAACCAGAAGCATCTATGTGCACTACAAATCCTCCTTACTCATCCGGGATTGTCAAAACTGGTGATGTCATCAACTTCTTATTCAACCCCTCAATTGCTTCTTGATAGTCCTGAGTCCACACAAACTTGACCTCCTTTCGAGTCAGCCTAGGAAGTGGTCCTACAATCTAAATGAAATCCTTTATAAATTTCCTGTAGGATCCAGCTATCCCTAATAAACTTCATACTTCTGTCATAAATGTAGGCGGATCTAATCTCAACACCACATCAACCTTCCGCAAGATTTCCAACACCATCCATAAATACTTTGTATGATCTTCCTTGGTCTTAGAGTATACAAGAATGTCATTTGAACACCACCACAAACTGGTCGAGATACTGGGAAAACACCTTGTTCATCGAGCTCATAAATGTAGATAGAGCGTTATTTACTCCGAACGACATCACTAGGAACTCATAATGCCCGTATCGTGTGCGGAATGCTATCTTAGGTATGTCTTCCTTCCTCACCTTCAACTGATGATAGCCTGACTCGAGGTCTAGCTTAGGAAATAACCAAGCTTCCCCGAGCTGATCGAAAAGGTCATAAATCCTGAGAATTGAGTATTTATTTTTAATAGTAACCCGATTCAACTCCCTGTAGTTAATACACATCCTTCGGCTGTCGTCCGACATTGGCACTAACACCACCGGTGCTCCCTAAGGTGAAGTACTAAGCATGATAAATTTCTTATTAAGATACTCCTGGACTTGTGTGATGCCCCAGGGTTCATACAATGCTGCAGTCCAAGGTAAAACCCGGATTGTCAAACCTACGAAGCACCAACTCCATGCTACGATATGTTTCACCATCACAATCACTATCTCTCTAGTGGAAACAATAAATAGATGAAGGTACAGACAGGTAAATAATCAAAATAAAGCATAAGAAATATTAATAATGAGCCCAACTGGAATGAAGTAGATATTTTACTAAGTCTGAACTGAATCTCAAATACAATGAGTCAAATAAACCAAGTCTCACAATAGCTCTCAACTCTATGAAATAAAATACCAATGTAGAGTCTAAAAATAATCAACTACATGTGGAGTTCTGCAATAACTACAAAATATAATAAATAACTAAATAGATAACTAAGATGTCTCATCAACCTGCGACTCTCCATGCGTCGGACTCACTGCCTGAAAGAGGGGAAACAACGAGCGTCAAAGCGCTAACGAGATCATCACTACCTCTCCCCAGGGGAAGGGGTAGGAGTATATAGAAAATAGAGTCAGTACATACATATATCAAATCATTTATATAACTCTCTATGAATGAGAAACAAATTTACCAATGATAAAAACCCCAATCTCCAACATAAAGAATAATCATCTTATCTCAAACTACGTCTGGGTGATCTGCTCTAACATAAGAGGATATCAACAATTGCTAAAACAAAAATATCTGCCGTTCATAACG